GTGTCCTAGTAAGGGTTAGGCACCAGCTGGATGCTAAGGGCAAAAAGAGAAATAGGTAGAGAGCCTGTACCTCAAGAGCTCTATTTGGGACAGACAGTCATAACGTAATATCGTTAAGCACTACAATATAGAGACGGATAAATTAAGAAGAGGTCCAGATGAAAACTATTCTTCTGCCTGCCTTGGGACCAGGAAAAACTTCAAGGAGAAATATTTCAACAAGGGTAGAAGGATGAGAAAAGTATTCTGTGTAGAGAGAGCAGAAACTGCAGTATGTTTTCTATATAAAGAATTTTAGGAGAATTTTGAATATTTCTATGGTTAGAGCAAACAGTAGCCCAACTTCGGATGGCAGGCACATTTTGTTTGGCCTGCATTTTCTCTCTGTCTATTCAATAGCCCAAACTTAAAAATGGGCCATCGCTGGTGTGACTCACTTGCTTGTAGGGTCTGCCCGGGCACTGAAGGGTGAGTCTCAGGTTCCATTCCTGGGTTTCAGGTTTAATCCCCGGTCGGGAGGCAACTGTTGGATGTTTCTTTCTGACATTGATGTTTCCCTCTTTCTCTCCTTCTCCCTTCCTCTTTCTCTAAAATAAATAAAAAAATATCAGTAGATGGCACATGAATGTTTGGTGTTCTGACTTGTCTTGAAATATTGGAGAGCTGATAAAATATGTCCTGCATCTATCCATGATCAATCAGCTGCAACCAGTATCCATGACCTCCTTGAGATGTTTAGTTCATGATGGCTCTCTTCCACCCTGTTCACTCATTGGCATTACTGGCTGCAGTAGGAGTTTATGTTTTCAACCCTGACCTGTGATGTAAGGTGTGTACACGTAGGAATGCATGAGGAAGGAGAGGCAAGAAAGGGCAGCAGATGGCAACTTATGCAAGCTTTTGTGTGACACGCTTGTCTTGGTCCCATAAGGGGAGCTACAGAGACTATAAAGGTAGATGGGAGATTGGGAGATTTAAAAATTTTTATATGTTTTTATTGATTTAGAGAGAGGGAGGAAGGGAGAGAGAGAGAAACATCGATTGGTTGCTTCCCGCATGCACCCCAACCAGCTACTGAACCCACAACCTGGGCATGTGCCCTGAAACCAGCGACCTTTCAGTGCACTGGATGGAGCTCAACCAACTGAGCCACACTAACCAGGGTGATTTTTTAAAAAATATGTTTTTATTGATTTTTTAGAAAAAGAGGACGGAAGAGGTTTAGAGAGATAGAAACATTGATGAGAGGGAAACATCATTGATTGGTTGCCTCCTGCACGCCCCCTACTGGGGATCAAGCCCTCAGTCTGGGCATGTGTCCTGACTGGGAATCAAACTGGTGACCTCTTGATTCCTGGGTTGATGCTCAACCAATTAGCCACACCAGCCCAGCAGGGTGATTTTTGTTTTGTTTTGTTTTAATGTGTCAATTTTTTATTGATATGCAGCAAGCCACTTAAAATTTTGTTTTAAAAAGTTTGGCGAATGTAGAAAGTTTCCTTGATGAAATATTAGCCTCCACATACACTACCAGGCAAACTGTCGTAGAGATCACAGAACAGAAAGTTCATAGACAATACAAAATTGCTTGAAGGACATAGCTTAACATTACTTCAACTTTCTTACTAGGGAGGTTTTTAAAAAACAGTTTTGTTGAGGTATAATTGATACACCATAAACTATATATTTAATGTACACAATTAGATTAGTATGGACATAAGTATATACTTGTGAAAATATTGCCACCATATCTAGGTAACAAATATATCTATCACCCCCAAAAGTTTCCTTGTGTCTTTTTTTTTTAATCCTCACCTGAGGATTTTTAAAAAATTTATTTTACAGACAGAGAAACGACGTTCAAGTAGGTGCACCCCAGGGTCCTGGGGTGAGAACAGGGGCTCACCAGAGATCGAACCCCCAACCTGGGTATGTGCCCTAACTGGGACTTGAACCCAAGACCCTTCAGTGCACAGGGGAACCCTCCAACCAACTGAGCCACACTGGCCAGAGCTCTTGTATCTTTTGTGTTCGTGTATGTTAAGAACACTGACATGAGCTCTGTGTCTGTCCTTCTATCAGAGGGCAGACACCACACCCAGCCCAAGTTTTGGTTTTTTTTTTAAAAAAAAATCTCTTTACTGAGTCACACCCAGCTGTAAACAAGTCACCACGGGAGCCCCACCCCAACCCCCAGACCACAGTCCTCGAGGAAATACTGGGGAAGGTCAGTGGGGTAGGTGCCAAGCGGGGCAGCGGGCAGGCAAATGCAGCAGACTCCAGGTTTGTGGGAAGATGGGGCCAGAGCAGGAGTGGGGACTGAGCTTCCAGGAGCCTCAGAGCAGGGCCCGTAAGGACCAGGTCAGCCCAAGCTTTTAAGCAAAAAAAAAAAAAAAAGTAAAAGAACACTGACATGAGATCTATCCTCTTAAAAATTTTTTGTTTTTTTTAGTTCTTTTTCCTTGTTTTTTACCCTCATAAATTTTTAAGTATAGGGAGATTTTTTTGTAAGTAGAATCAATTAAACTTCAGGAAGAGAAGACAATATACAAATAACCAAAGTCTAGGTGACACTGAACCATTCTTTGAGAAGCTGAAGAAGCAGGTTTTTGGGAGATGTTAACAATTTTAGTTTCTTAGGTCTGAGGTGCCTGTAGAAACCTAAATGGAAGTGTCCAATAGGTCATTGGATTAGTGGAACTGGAGTTCAGGAGAAATGACTGGGCTAGATATCTAATTTAATAATTGAGCTCCTCCATCAATAATGTTTGATTAAATAATTTGTCTAATTTCTAAGCTGAAGACAGCTAAAAACGTTGGATTAAATGCTTTTAAAAATCAAGCCGTGGACAGTGTGGCTCAGTAAGTTGAGCGTCGTCCCATGCACTGAAAGGTTGTCAGTTCAATTTCCAGTCAGAGTACATGCCCCGGTTGCAGGCTGGATCCCTGGGATGTGCAGGAGGCATCATATCCCACCCCCTCTCTCCAGCCCCCCATTTTTCCTTTTCCCTTCTCACTCTCTCAAAATCAATAAAAATATTTTTTAAAAGATCAAGAACTAGTACAAGTGTGAGGAATTATTGGTGTCAGAGCATGAAAGGGCAGAAAGACAAAGTTGAGGTCAGCAGCAGGACTGCTTTACCTTGAGGTCATTGGCTGATCGGGAACTGGTGGAAGAAAGTGGGCTGTGTGGGGCAAGCGAGACAAAATTGGAATCCAAATGTCCCCAAAGGTGAGAATCCTGGTAAACCACCATCCTGTTTTGGGTTAGGATCCTGGAAGGCAGCACTCTTAGGGAAAACCTAAGAGTAGGGTAAACTGGAAGTAGAAAATCCAGACCCAAAATATTCAAAAACCAAAATTAAGAACCAATTGATGGGTATAACAGCAAGTTAGACTACGCTGAGAATCAAATAAATGACTCAAAAGAAAGAACAGAAGAAAGCCCTGGCTGAGTAGTTCAGTTGATTAGAGTGACTTCCCAGTAGGACAGGGTTGTGGCAGGTTGCAGGCTCCATCCTGGTCAGGGCACATACAAAGACGAAATCAGCCATGAGTGGAACAACAAATCTATGTTTTTTCCTCTCTCATGACAATAAAAGGGATGAAAAGCCTAAGAGAAGGTTAGAGACAGAGAGGATACTGTGAGAAAGTCTGACACACCTCTATTTGGAGCCCAGACAGAGGGAAATAATAGGATAGAAACAATACGTGAAGAGTTTATGGCTGAGGATATTAAAAAGTAGATGAAATACATTAAGCCACAAATTCCAAGTGCAACAAGCCTCAAATAGGATTTTAAAAATCCATATCTTGCTGAATCGGTTTGGCTCAGTGGGGGGGCACATAGCCGAAACCGGTTTGGCTCAGTGGATAGAGCGTCAGCCTGCGGACTCAAGGGTCCCAGGTTCGATTCCGGTTGGGGGCATGTACCTTGGTTGCGGCCCCATCCCCAGTGGGGGGTGTGCAGGAGGCAGCTAATCGATGTTTCTCTCTCATTGATGTTTCTAACTCTCTATCCCTCTCCTTTCTTCTCTGTAAAAATCAATAAAATATATTAAAAAAAATCCATATCTAAACCCATCAGAATGAAACTGCAGGAAATTAAATAAAAATAAAATGTTTAAAACATAAAAAAGTGGAAAAAAATAAAATATAGAAAAGAGTATTAGTTGCCTTCAAAAGAAAAACCATTAGATTGACAGCTTTTTTTTTTAAGGTAAAAAGGGAAGCCATAAGAAGAAGGAGGGAATCTAAGGGAATAGCGGCCAGTCAGAGGGGGTATGAAGGCACAAAGATCTGCAGCCTTTATAAACTGTAGGGTTCCCCCTCCCCACTTGAAAGTGTGTGCTGTGAGTTTTTCCCCCCCTCCCCACATGGGAGTCTGTACTTGTTCTTCAATAAATTCCCACCTTTACTATAAAAAAAAAAAAAGGGGGGAAGCCATAGACAGTAAAATAACATTGTAAATGTGCTGAAAGAAAATAACTCCCAACTAGGAAGCCATACCTAGAAAAAAATGTCCTTCGAAAACACATGTGAAATAAAGATGTATTAATACAAACCAAAACCAAGAAAGCAACCAGAGGGACACTAATTCTCAAGCAGGAGGAATGTTATTCCAGGTGAGTGAGTGGAGTTGCAGGAAGCAATCAAGGGCACAGCCCCTGGCTGGGTGCATGAATGGGTGGAACAACAGATCTCTCTCTTTCTCACCAATAAAAAATTAAAAACTGGTAAATTTAGTCAACAATACAAATAAAGTTTAAAAAATGGTAAATCTAAATGACACTAATTTAATTAATAAACATTAATGTCTTGTGGGACTGAAAATATATAGATAATTAAATTGTGTGCACATATATACCCTACACCTACCCAAGAGAAGTGAACGCATCTGACCTCAAGAATTCTGCAAAAAAAAAAAAAAGTCCATAGTTTTATTTATAATGGCAACCCAAATGTGTTTGTCTGTGACTCCGTTGGTTAGAGGTCCTGAATTCATCAAAAGGAGAAAGGACAGACACACTCCTATGTGGCTCAGTGGTTGAGCATCAACCCATTCACCAAGAGGTCACCTGTGTGTCCAGTCAGGGCATATGCCCAGGTTGTGGGCTTGATCTACAGTGGGGGGCCTGTAGCAGGCGGTTGATCAGTGTTTCTATCTCTCTATCCCTCTCCCTTCCTCTCTCTCTATAATCAATAAAAAATATATGTTAAAAAAGGAGAAAGGACAAACTGTGGTATAATTATTCAATGGAATGCTATTCAAATAAAAAGGGACAAATTACTGATAAATGCAAAAACTGGAGCTGGGGCAAAAAAAGAGTACATACAGTGTGAGTCCAATTATTTGAAGTTCAAGAACAGACAAAACTAATCTATGATCACAGAAATCAGAAGAGAGATTGCCTCTAGTGGCAGGGCAAAGGGGTATGAGCAAACTGAGGTGATAAAAACATCACCTCAGTTGGTTCTATAGACGGAATATATTACTCAAAAATAATCGAGCTGTGGGCTTGAGATCTGTGCATTTGTTGTACTAAATCATATATCAATAAAGTATTTAAAAGAATTACAACAACAGCAATAGCAGATAATTCTGAAGGGAGTGATGACCAATTATTCCTGCATTTTTTACGAGAAAAGTAAAAAAGTATTACATAAGTCAAGGATGCATGTTGTAATTTTTAGGGTAGCCAATATAAAAGAAGAGTAACTTTCAATTAACAAAGGCGGGGAGGGAATAATAAACATTAATCAATGCAAAAGGAGGCAAGCAGGGGAGAAAATGTATTACAGGAGGGGCAAAGCACGTAGTAATCTGATTGACTAAAACGCAAATACAGCATATCGGTATCTATAGCTGATGAAACCTCGCATAAGGGTAAAATCCGTCCGTTTGTAGAATGAGGAAAGAAAAGTGCGGGGAAACTGCCACGGGGATGGGCCGGGTCCTTCTCGCCTTGCTTCTTCCCTTGCTCGCTTTCTCTGAAATCTCTTTCCGAAGCTGCCTCAGTTTCCCTTCTGGTCCCTCACCCTCTGATTCAGTCAACACACGACTCCTTTTCTCAGAGCCGCTTCGTCTGAGCAGTGTCCATTGCTGCTCAAAGTCCCTTCCTATTTCCTCATTTCACTTGCTAATGGCAAAAAAGGCCTCAAAAGATTGCATTTTTCGAGGGAGGAAAAAGTAGAAGGATGGCGTTTACTTTTACAGAAAAAGTTAAAATTCTCTTTATTCTAGTGAAGGGAAAAAGAAAAAGAAAGTTCCGCTAGCAGAGGATGGTTTCGATCCATCGACCTCTGGGTTATGGGCCCAGCACGCTTCCGCTGCGCCACTCTGCTGCTGCGGGTAAACGCGTCTCCCGATTCCTATAGAAAGTTTCCTACGCAATCTCTGTCCTAATCTCTCTACACAGCGCCATCTAATGTCTGGTAAAAAAAAAATCGTCATTACTGTGTAGTCTAATCTGATTGGCTAGTTCCTGGCGCAGCAGGGATTTTTAATTGGTTTACAAGCCCGTTTTCTACGGTAAACCAATAGGCATAAGCGGAGGAGCGAGGCGGGAGCCAATCGCGCCGTGGCTTGTTGGCATACCGGCACGCTGCCTCTGCGCCTGGCGGCAGCTCGGAGGAGAGGGGCGGTTGGTGTGGCTTCCATTGTTCAGGATCTGGGGCGCCATGAGGTGAGGACACGGAGCGGGTTCTGGAAAGGTGGGGGGTATGTGGCCGAAATCGCTGGGGAGGTGGGCCGGGAGGAGTCGGGGGGCCGGGAAGGACCACGTGTCGGGGGGCTGCCCTTAAGCGGAGAACTCCGGGTCTGGGCGAGTGGGGGCGATCGGAGGCCAAGGAGGCGGGGAAACCCGGGCCTGGGGTAGAGGGTTCCACCGCCCGGTTTCTGGGGGTTCAGATGAGGAGGGTCCTCGGGTCCCAGGAGGAGCACCCCTCGCGTCTCCCCGTGTGGCCTGAGGAGGCTTGAACGCGGCCTCATTCCTCCTCCAAGTGCTTGACCAGATGTGCCGGGAGATGGTCCACTCTCTCGATGACGAAAGAAGAGCCTTTAGTCTCCGCAGGGGCCGCGCTGGCGTGTCCCGGGATGATGGGGTGTTCCCTGGAGGGGCTCAGCGGTGGGGCCCCGTCGTTCTCTGGTGTGGGCTGTGATGAACGTCTCCAGATTGAGGAGGTCAGGGGTGAGGTTGGGCTTTTGAAATGGGGAGGAATGCCAGTGGGAACGGGGATGCTTAGTTTCCACAGGAAAGTTCGGAGACGGAGGTCGGCAAGCTTGACATGATAGGCCAGCTGGTGGGGAAACGAGGTGAAGGCTATTTGTTTTATGCGTTTCTAGGGGCGACAGAGGCCGAGGTCGTGGCGGGCGCTTTGGTTCCCGAGGAGGCCCGGGAGGAGGGTGAGTGTCCGGCATCTCTGCGCTGCTCCGTTCCCCTGTCCCCACCCCAGGAAGAGCCCGGGGCGGACTCCTGGCACCCGCTTTTGTGAGATGCAGCTGTGGTTCAGAGGCCACATGCTCTCCTGCTAAGCGGCTTCATCTTCGGTAGTTAGTAATTTGGACTGTTTCTTTGCTTCAGGTTCAGGCCCTTTGTGCCCCACATCCCGTTTGATTTCTACTTGGTGAGTACCGCTGCCCCTGTTCCCCGCGGACAGGCACGGAGCCTGCCCACTTTTCACTTGCAGTTTCCTGGAGCCCAGCATCTCCCCGTGAAAATGGTGGTTGCAGGAGGAAAGGGGATTAGGGCATAGAGTTGGGGTTTTGAATCAGCTGCATGTTGCTTTACACACAAAAACAGTATAAGCTGGGTAGGTAAGCTAATTCCTTGGCTACTATGGGCAGTAACATGTTTGTAATCTTTGTTCTGAATAGTTACTGTATCTCTGGCTTATCTGTTAATGTAAAGGTGGCTGTTTCTTCCAGTTTGTATCCTTGTTTGGGCATCTTAAGGAGTAAAAACAAGTGTTGTAAGATTTTTTTGTTTTCAGTTTTTTCTGTTGTAGGAACAGAAATGTAATCTCCCATGTATATGATTTTTTAAAAATATTTTTTTGAGGGGCTTGTATGCATGCATATGAGCATAACTGGTTGGTGAGGGCATGTGCTGGGGGTTGGGAGCAGCCGGGGAGAGGTAAAGGGGGAAAAGGAGACTTTTTATGTAATACTTCTAAACAATAAAGAATTTAAAAATATAATTGATTTCAGAGAGAGGAAGGGAGAGGGAAAGGTAGAAACCAATGATGGGAGAGAATCATTGATCGGCTGTCTCCTGCACATCCTCTACTGGGGATCAAGCCCGCAACTGGGCATGTGCCCTTGACCAGAATTGAACCCGGGACCCTTCAGTCTGCAGGCCAATGCTCTATCCGCTGGGCCAAACCAGCCAGGGCTGTATATTATTTTGATAAGTAATAAATAGTTGTTTATTTCTGTTTAGTGTGAAATGGCCTTCCCTCGGGTTAAGCCAGCACCTGATGAATCTTCCTTCAGTGAGGCATTGCTGAAAAGAAATCAGGACCTTGCTCCCAATTCTGCTGAACAGGTATATTCTTTCGGCTGTCTTCCTGTGATTTCTCTGAGAAAGCTAGAGGAGTGAGTAACTACTGGTGAGGTTACTGTTTTCAGAGCCTAAACTTCCCAGGTTTATATTAGCCTCCCTCTCCCTCTCCCCCCAGCCTTGTACATGGGGTATATGTTCTGAGACCCTCACTGTTTGCCTGAAACTTCAGATAGTACTGAGCCTTGTATATACCATCTTTTTTCCTATACATATGTACCTGTGGTAAAGTTTAATTTACAAATTAGACACAGTAAGAGCTTAATAGCAATAACTATGACTTCTACAATAATTATAATAATATACTGTAATAAAAGTTTTGTGAATATGGTCTCAAAATCTCCTGCTGTACTGTGCTGTTTTCCATGTGATAATGTGGATGATAACGATCCTCTGCCTACATGATGAAGTGAGTGAGGTGAATGACACAGGCACTGGCATAGCCTTAGGCAGCTCACTAGAAGGGTTACTTGAACTGAAGCACTGATACCTCAACAGTTGATCTGATAACAGACAGGGCTATGGGCAGGTAGCATGTACAGCATGGATACACTAGACAAAGGGGTGGTTCATGTCCTGAGGGGGATGGTGCACAATTTAAAACTTATGAATTGTTTATTTCTGGGGTTTTCCATTTAATATTTCCCTAACACAGTTGACTGCAGGTAACTGAAACCATGGAAAACAAAACTAGCAAAATGGACTACTCTAAAATTGTTCTCCTTATTTCTCATGGTGGGTGGAGGAAGAGTGCCAGATTGCATATGTGTTCATATTTTTATTGGGGAATCTATCTTTGAGATAAAAAAAAAAAGTTTTCTTCTAGCGGATTCAAGGCCAGATGGGTCAGTGTTTTCAAAGCCCTATATTGGTATTGATTTAGCTTGTATGGAAGGGATTAGGGGAAATAATTCAAACTGAGAAGTTGCTTATAATTTTTCACCTTAGGTTGTTTTTGTTTCCTGCTGTTTTTCAGGCCTCTATCCTTTCTCTGGTGACAAAAATAAACAATGTGATTGACAATTTGATTGTGGCCCCAGGGACATTTGAAGTGGTGAGTTTTTGATGATTTAGTCCTGGAAAAGGGCAGCCTCGGTCGTGTGGGAATTACATTGGCTCCTGTTTTTTTTTAATTCTTCCATCAAAGCCATGCCTACATGGGAAAGTACAATGGAATTCCTTTGTGGTGCTGATCTTGGGGACAAGACTTGTATTATCGTTTTCAGCTAGCCATGATGTATCAGGCTTTTCTTAATGGTTTTGGGATATGATTTGACCTTTGCAACTTCCAAATCTGGGTAATAAGCAGCTGTGTTGTAACTGAGCTCTGAGAGGAACCAGGCAGTCTTTTCATTTTTTTTCCTTTCTCTCCGAAATCCTGTTTTCCAACAGCAAATTGAAGAAGTGCGACAGGTTGGATCATATAAAAAGGGAACAATGACTACAGGACATAATGTGGCTGACCTGGTGGTAATCCTAAAGATTCTGCCAACATGTGAGTATACCTCTTTCTAGCTATGGAAACAGAACATAGCGGTTAGATTTGAGGCATAGGATCTTTAAAGCCCAAATTTCTCTCCTTTTCTCTCATTTCAGTGGAAGCCGTTGCTGCGCTAGGGAACAAAGTCGTGGAAAGCCTAAGAGCACAGGATCCTTCTGAAGGTTTGAGTTTGTTGCTGAACACATAGTTAGTGGTCACAAGAGCCAGATCTGTCATTCTAAGTATACAGTTAAAGTCTGGCCAGAAGGAAATGTGAATGGAGAGCTTTATGTTGGGGAAGTGTGGGCGAGATCTTCCTTGTGCAAAATCCTTTTGATCTCTACTTTTATTTTTTTATTTTTGTTGACATGATCTTTACTTTCAAAACTCTGTATTCTAAATCCTCATTCTGGACTCTTGCTGCTTTTGAAAACCTATCAGTTCACTAATGGAAATCTGAGAGTTAGAGCTTTTGAATTTTTTTTCTTTTAGTTTTGACCATGCTGACCAATGAAACTGGCTTTGAGATCTGTTCCTCTGATGCTACAGTGAAGATTTGCATTACAACAGTGCCACCCAATCTCCGAAAACTGGATCCAGAACTCCATTGTTAGTCCTTTTTTTTCCATTGCTGGGAAATTTGGAGGAAATTCAAAAGATGGTATACAGTTGCTGTTGAGTTTACTGAACTTGTTGCTATTCCACATAAAACCTTCTGCAACCTAAGTTTACTCCCAAACTTTATTTTCTCCATCTGTAATTTGGAGACAGGTTTACCATCTTGCTAGTGAAATTGTCAAATATAGGATGACCAGAAAAACAGTTTGAGGGCTAAGAACTATGGAAATACTTAGGGAGTTGGGTGAGGCTTTTGGAAAACGCTGTGGATCTTGTATGTTTCTAGATTTGGTCTAGGGGGAAAGTAGTGAGTTTTGGACAAGTGATTTGCTGATCTGAGAAACAGAGTGGTTTATTAATTTTCATTACTATTTTTGAATCATCACCCAGGACATGTATTTTTATTGATTTTTTAGTGAGAGAGGAAAGGGGGAGGGAAACATGACTGGTTGCCTTCTGTATGTACCCTGACGGAATTAAACCTGCAATGTAGGTATGTGCCTGGTCTGGGAATCAAAACCCTTTTTAAAAAATTATTTACTGATTTTAGAGAGAGAAACATCTATTTGTTGTCCTACTTATTTATGCATTCATTGGTTGATTTTTGTGTGTGCCCTGATCAGGGAATCAAACTCTTTAACACTTTGATGTATTGGGATGACATTGTAATCAACTGAGCTATGTGGCCAGGGCAAACCCATAACCTTTCGGTGCATGGGATGATGCTCCAATTAACCTAGCTAGCAGGCCAGGGCAAACATGGTGTGATTTAGGAATTATATTCTTCCAAGTTACTGAACTGTGGTGGTGGGGTTGAATTGCTTGCTTAATGATAGGAATGTTTCATCTTGGCCTGTCATGCTTCTAGTGGACATCAAGGTGTTGCAGAGTGCCTTAGCAGCCATCCGACATGCCCGCTGGTTTGAAGAAAATGCTTCTCAGTCCACGTGAGTTTCCCCCTCACTATTTGAGCTAAGATAACCTAACCCTTCTAACTACAGTACAGGACACTGCTGTACTTCCTCTGACCTTCTGTCTGGATTCTGAATTTTATGTTAAGCAAAATTCAAATTGAAATTGAAAGGAGAGAATGCATAGTTCTGGAAATAGCTTTAGCTGTGTACCTCGGGTGTGGAAGTACATGGTCATATTTACTTTTAATCCCTGGGTCCCTCCTACCTTTAGAGTTAAAGTTCTCATCAGACTTCTGAAGGACCTGAGGATTCGTTTTCCTGCCTTTGAGCCCCTCACACCCTGGATCCTTGACCTACTCGTAAGTAAAGGGCAGTTGTTCCTGATCTTCCCTATTTAATAGTACTCTGACATCTACCAGAATCTGAAGTTTGGTGAAGCTTAAAAAAACTTCATTGCTGGACAAGTAATCCAGTAAAGATTTTTTTAGAGTAATTAAAAGAGTCATTATTAATGCCGCTTTGTCTTTTTTTTATTATTGCTGTCATTTCACTAATAACGGAAAGGACAGACTAGATGATCAGTCACTTCAGAATCCCTTCTGAACATGAACATGTTGACTTGGCCTTAATAACCAATTTTCCTCATGATAGCTTAAAGTTGTAGTTTGTTTTATGGCACACCTACCAGATTTATTCTTTTCCAGGGGCACTATGCCGTGATGAACAACCCCACCAGACAGCCTTTGGCCCTCAATGTGGCATACAGGTACAGCATGCTTCTCTGGGTTTGGGACTGGAGGTAAACTGTCTTTTTTGCTCTTTTAACACCTCCCTGTGTTTCAGGCGTTGCTTGCAGATTCTGGCTGCAGGACTGTTCTTGCCAGGGTCAATGGGTATCACAGACCCCTGTGAGAGTGGCAACTTCAGAGTACACACGGTCATGACTTTGGAACAGCAGGTATTGGGACAGCTCTGAAATGGTGTGTTGTGCGCCATTCTTGACTACTCCTGGGTCTGAAGGCAAAGGGAATGTGGTCTTTAGGGGTCAAGGATATGGGGGTTCTGATATACTTTAGGCTTGAAATTGAAACGTTATCTTCATCTCTGTTTTCATGAGAATGTTAGTCAAACAAGGTGTTTTGATTATATTTGCTTATTTATCCTCACTTTGCTCTCTTTCAGGACATGGTCTGCTACACAGCTCAGACTCTGGTCCGAATCCTCTCACATGGTGGCTTTAGGAAGATCCTTGGCCAGGAGGGTGATGCCAGCTGTGAGTGATCCCTGGGCTGGAGGTTCTTTAGGGTATTCTGTGGTCTACAAAGAAACTCTACACCACTCAGATGTCTTCATATTTCCACTGTGTAGATCATGACTTGTATGCTGGGCTATGTGTCTGAAATCACACCTTTTTTCTCTTCTAGATCTTGCTTCTGAAATATCTACCTGGGATGGAGTGATAGTGACACCTTCAGAAAAGGCTTATGAGAAGCCACCAGAGAAGAAGGAAGGGGAGGAAGAGGAGGAGAATACAGAAGAACCACCTCAAGGAGAGGAGGAGGAAAGCATGGAGACTCAGGAGTGACTCCCTTCTCTCCACCCTTTCTTACCCAAGGGGAAGATTGGAGCCTGAGCCAACTGCTATTGGGCTCTATGGTGGCATTTCTGAGGGCTGGGGGAGACAGGAAAGAAAATAAAAATAAACCACGGAAGGAAATGTCATCCCGCTGAATTCTTATGTTGCTTAGTAGCCAGAAGTCTCCCATCTCTAGTGAAGCAGGTTACCAACTTTTCTTCATGATATTGTAGAATCCCCGGCTCCTTGAAACCTCTCTTAACCAACCTCTCTTTGTTGTTGAAATGTCAACTGTTCATGCCTGGAAATTTTTTTTTTTCTAAGAAAAATAAAGTACTTCCTACTAGGGCTCTTTCTTGGTCTTGTATTTCTGTGATATCTGGCCACCCTTTTTGCTTTCTTACTCTTCATTGAAAAAATGCTACTCACGTATTTTCATTGTGAATGCTAGATCACAATTTGAGGCTGTATTTGAATTTATTAAAGTACAGAGATCCTTGGAACCTTTCCATATACCAAAGTAAACTAGAGTATTGTTTAAGCATTTATTGAATTAAATGGTTCCAGCAAGACTACTGTGTCCAAGCCAGTGAAATGTACAACAGGGTGGATGGGTGACTGCCTGCCCTCTCCAAATCCTAAGCATAAACAGGAAAATGGGAAGTCACAGGTAGAGGGTGTGCTGCTCAGGCCCCAACAACTACCAACTTTGCCAGCCATGTAACAAGAAGCCCCTCCCTAGTTAACTAGATTTGAAGGTAGAGATGAAACTTGAGTATGTACCTTTAAAAAATGTAGAGGTCTCAGCTCATTCTTGGAAGGAAGAGCTGGAATAAATCCTTTGGGATCCTGAGTCCTGAACAGGTTTCCGTGGACCCCCACATAAATGGGTACGACTGCTAAGTGCTTCAAACAATCCATAGGATTGCCTTGACGTCCCAGGGTTAATAGGGTGGCCTGAAGGAAACGAGGCAGGTGGGGATAGTACTTGAGCTATTCTGAGGCCCATCTTCTGTTACTTGCTTGGGGAGCCAGGGGGGTAAACTCCTGAATCCAGCATTGCCCTCCTTCGGGCTGTTTCCTTGGCAACACTGTGGTTTAGCCGCCTCAGCCGCTCCTATAAGACAAATTTGTAATCTTAACTGCTCTGTGAAAGGCTTTAGAGCTCACTGTTACCGGGCATGTAAAATATCTTAGGCTTGCTCCATCTCAATGTAGGTCTCCTACGGTATATAAGAATGTAAATAAGAGCCACTGGGTAGTGAGAAGTAACAGTTCTAGCCCGGCTGGTGTGGCTCAGTGGTTGAGCGTTGACCTATAAGCCAGGAGGTCATGGCTCGATTCCCAGTCAGTCAGGGCAAATACTCAGGTTGTGGGCTCAATCTCCACTGGGGTGCAATTGATGATTCTCATTGATGTTTCTATCCCTCGCCCTCTCTGAAATCAATAAAAATATTTAAAGAAATAAAAAAGAATAAACAGTTCTAGACACTAATTTAGTTGACGACTCCCTTTCCCCAAAGACTTGAAAAATGACTTTCGTTGAGTTGGAGACGGGAGACATCCCTTGAAAAGTGGGGATACACACTGAGAACTTACAAAGCAGAGCAAAGAGTCACTGTTGGCAGGAACTTCTTTTACCTGGGCGTTCTGCAGAATGTTATTGACCAAGACAACTCGTCGCCGGGCGTTAAGGAGCTTCTTTACATAGGGGTCAAGATCCAGGGCCACTTTCTGATCCTCATTGATACGGCACAGCTCTGTGGGTGTAATGTAAGGTGCAACTAATACCTGCTGGCGCATGTCTTGTTTTTTGGCAAAGTAAGACGGAAACACTCTTGCACCACAAGGACCACAGTCACTAGAAACTTAACGGAATCTGAGGCAGCGTTGCCATGCTGCAAGGAAGTGACAGAAACTCAGCCCAGAGGACGGACGGCAAAACCTAAGGTTCGGAAAGCAAGCTGAAGGATTCCGAGTACATAGGGATGCTTACTCACCGGTAGCCAGGTTGTCGATTTGTTCCCGCAGCTCTACCTGGCTCTCTCTGCAAAGAAATGCAAGACCTGCAGGGTCAAGCAACGGGACTCAAAACACCTG